CGAGGAAAAAATTTGAGATGAAATTATTGATAGATAAAATATATATTATTTTTTAATTGACACAGGATCGGCAGTCTCCATTTTGAATATAGAAGACGTTTATCTTAAAAATACCAGTAACAAAAACGGATATTATTTTAAAATCTTATAATGTAATGATCGATATTCTAGGTGAATGTATATTACCCATTAATTGTAAGAATAAAATTATATATCATGAATTTATAATGGTAAACAATGGTATTAATTTGATAGGTAGAAATTTAATAAACAAATTAAAGCTAATAATAAATCAATGTAATACAATGAATGAGGTTTGGGGGGATAATATTGAAAAAATTTTCTTCATTATTTACTAAGAAATTAGGTTTACTGAAGAATTTAAAGCGAGTTTATCGGTAAAACCCAACCCCAAACTTTCAATGTCTTAAAACCAGACAGATACCATTTGCGTGGAAGATAAAACTAGAAAAGGAATTACGAGTGGAATTGATGTGAGTTATAGAAAAACTAAAATACTCAAATATCGCTCCGATCGTGCCTGTACTAAAAAAGATGGATCCTTGCGAATTTGTGGTGATTTTAGACTGGTAAATGCAAATATTTTGATTAATAAATATCCTATATCCAAAATTAATGAATTATTAGCCACACTAGGTAATGGATCAAAATATACGGTATTAGATTTATCAGAAGCGTATTTTCAAATAGCACTAGACGAGGAGGCAAAAAACTGTTAGTGATCAACAGGCCAAGTGGATTGTATCGCTTCATACGACTTCCGTTTGGGGTAGCCTCAGCGCCAGCCATTTTTCAACAAGCAATGGATTCGTTATTAAAAGGACTACCTGAGGATAAACGGTATGAAATTAAATCTAAAAAAATGTAATTTTTTTAAAGAAAAGATTGAATTCTTGGGAATCACAACAACAAATAAGAATGCCAATGCAATTTTAGACGCACCGTTACCTAAAAGTTAAATAATTACAAGCTTTTATAGGTATTATTAATTATTATCAAAAATTAAAAAATTTTGACTATTGCCGCTCCGTTATATAGGTTTTTAATAAAAAATGTGCCATGAAAATGGACAGATAATGAAACAAAAGTAATTAATAAATTTAAAACATTAATATCGGAAGCACCCATTTTAACACATTATAATCCGGAATACCCGATAATTCTAGCTGCTGACGCGTCTCACCATGGAATAGGATCAGTTCTATCTCATAACATTAACAACGAGAAAAACCCGTTTGAATTCGCTTCCCGAAAATTTGCCGCAGAACGAAATTACAGTCAGATAGAACGTGAAACTTTAGCAATCATATTTGGATTAATTAAATTTAAACAATATTTAATTGGTAAACATTTTACTAAAATCACCGACCATAAACCACTTATATCGTTACTCTACATAATAGAATAACAGATATGTCATCAAGATTAATAAGATGGTCATTACTGCTAGCAAATTATGATAATGAATTGCAATTACGAGGGATAAAAAAAATAGCAATGCGGATATGCTTTCCCGTTTCCCAATTGACAGTAAACCATCTGCTTGGGATGAGTTAGATATTAATTTATTAGTATCGGATGCTCCACATTTCCGCGTTAGATATAAAATTACACACAAGAAATAACTCGGTATTATCAAAGGTTTCACGGTACATTGCAACTGGGAGGCCGAAGGTATTAGAGGAAAATCTAAAACCGTTTTTCCAGGGCCGAAATGAACTCACGATGGAGGCAGGAGAACCATAATTCCAAAAAAATTACAAGTAAATATTTTATCTTTTTACATATGGGGCATCAGGGTTATACTAAAACAAAATTATTGACCCAAGAGAATGTTTGGTGGTCGAATATTAATGAAGACAATTACATGGTAAGAATAGTTAATTATGTCAAACAAATAACCCTGGTGGTAAAACAATCATAGGGAAATAGCCCACTGCAAATAAACTATGGGGAAGAATTCATTTAGATTTTGCCGGACTAATTAACGAACATATATATCTAGTAATAATATAGTTTTAGTAAATGGCCTGAAATATAAAAACTGTCAACAAATAATTTTACTGAAGTAAGAAAAATATTGTGACTTTTTGCTATTTTCGGTTACCCCAATACGATTGTTATGGATAATGGGCCCCCATTTCAAAGTGAGAATTCAGGTTTATTTTGCAAACAATTATCAATCAAAAATGTATATAGTGCCCCGTACCACCCTAGAACCAACGGAGAAGCGGAGCGGTGGTAGAGAACGAAAGTACAAGTAGCCGTTATCCAAAACGGAGAAGAAAACAATTTATACCGTTTCAAATCGAGAGCCCAAAAAGGAGATAATAGATGAAATAGAATCAATTAACCTCAAAGGCATTTAATAATATGATTAATTGTATTCAAATATTGTTAATTGTGTATGATGATTAATTGATGTATTTAGATTGATTTATAAAAGATATATAAACTGAAGTACAAAATATATTAAGACAAATATAATAAATTGTTCAATAATAGTGAAATGTGTCAGTAAGAGATCTGCAAAGTTAGGCCCGGCCTGAGGGCTTGGGCCTAATTTTATTTTTTTTTAAATTCGGGCCGGGTCGGGTCGGACCTTGGAAATTTTTTTAAATAAATCTAAATTTATTAATTTTTTATGTAAAATAAAATATTTGATTTTATTTATTGAAATTAAACGTCATATAACAATATGTCTTTTATGAGTAATTATAAAAATTAATTTCTATATTTAAATAAATTCTACCCGGGCCGGATGGGTAAATTGTTTTAAAAAAATTTCGGATTCGGGCCGGGCCGGCAAAACTTTTTAAATAAAATTTCGGGCGGGGCCGGGCTTGAAAAATTAGGCCCGATGCAGATCTCTAGTGTCAGTATCTATGGAAATCAGGGACTTCTACCGTATTACTCAAGATCGTCAATAAAATTTAAGGGAATAAGGGGTAGTTTTAATTTGGATTTCCCTTTTTTCTAATTTTAATTTGGCATGAGATATGAGGGGATAAACAGTCATTGGTTTATATGGTGTAGAAAGTCCCTAATAGGAATACCTTGATATCAATTATTTATTTAAGATATTGTAATGGAAAATCAAAAATATAAATCAAAACTAACTTAAATAAATTTGATAAAGATAGTTTAAGAGAACAAAATGAAATGAAATCAAATACATATTCCAATTAAAAAAATTTTATAAATGAATGAAACACAAAAATTAATAATTAATTCAAAAATACAGGCCTAAAATAAAAAAATCTAATCACTAATCAGAGATGCATCGATATCGATACTCAAGGTATGGGTATCGGTTGATACTTTTAATTTTAACTTATACCAATGGGCGATAAATGATAACTAACTTTTTAAAAAAATAGCCTATCTTAAGTTATTAATTTATTTTTTTTAAAAATTGATTATATATTCTAAACCGATAAGAAAGAAAGAACTGTTAATTTTTATTTTCATTATTTAATTTTTTTACACTTTATAATTTCGTAAATATTTAAAATAATATTGAAATCTAGTCAGGCACTTGTACACGGTAGAAGGGGGAGTTATGACACATTATCGTCATTTAAATTAAGAGTAGGTGGATGAAAATAAAGAGGGTGGTTGTAAGGTTTTTTTGATAAATTTAATTTCCATTTGAGGTTGGCGCAGTCCGGCTAAAATGCTTAGAGGATAAGGTATTTTATAGAAGTGCCTGATTCTAGTTGTAGACGAGAGATAAATAATTATGTGCACCCAATATATTTATAATATTGTTATCCATAAGTTCAAGTCAGTCACTTTTAAACAATATTATATTATTTACATAATTATAAGATAATCTAATATAGTAATAAATACGTTATAAGGATAGGATAAATAAATAAAATTATATAGAAAGATTTCAAGGAGGTATGTAAGTCTATAAAATGGGATGGGGGTTTTTTCCTAAATGTACGTTGCGAAAATATATGCCATGAAGACTGGGTTATAATAAATATAAAAACGCGATATTTTGCAACAACAAATAATCGATAATTTATTGATTTTTCATTATTAGTTCATACTTACCAAGACTACAACATATTAAAATGACCCTTTGTTTGACTAAAGAATGTACAGATAAAAAAAACAAGGAAATGTTGTCAAAAAGAGCCTCAAGATTTGGGCAAAAGGAGACCAAACCTCTCAGACCTAGATAAGCCGTTTTTTAAAAAAAAAATTTGTAGACAATACCAGTTAGAGGTGAAAAAAATATAATAACTTCGATAAAGCAATTTATATTATATTTGATCTAAGTTCACAAGAAATTTAATATATAGATTACAAATGTATTATTGATACAATAAAATAAGCAATTAAATTGCGTCATTTTATTCCCAAGCACAAGTAAAAAAAATAGTAAAGGATAGCGTGGTGAAGAATAATAATTCGCAATTTTAATTATTTGATAAGACGTAGTCTTAATATTAAGTATAAAATAATACATATGTTATGTTCTATCCCCCCTTATTTCTTTTTTTTGTTTCTACTTGTTTCTTTTGTTTTCCCATCTTCCTTTATTTTGTTATGAAATTAATATATTATACCTTATTTTTATATTGCATTTGAAACTGGTTCTTACCAGTTTCATGAATGATTATATCGCGATTAAATAACAACTTTTTTTTCCCCTTTTGTTTTAAAAATTATAAAGGTGGAAAACAAAACACCATTGATTCATTAATTATTTTTCGTGCTTTTAAATTAAAGTTTATTTTGTTGTAATTTCACTTATTCGAATAAACTTTGAAATTTACGTTGTCCAAGTGATTCCATGACTAAATTGATAAAACCCGGGCCCCTGGATCCAGTCATTGACCATCCCGGACCCCCGATCACGGACTGTATTATTCCCATTCAGACTGGGGGACCCATCGGTCCAAACTCAACAACATATTATTTTGAAAAAATCGCATTTTAAATATAAAGTTTTTTTTACTAACCTTTAAAAAATGGCGATATCTTCCATATCGAAATAGGACTCAAGCTAGCAAATTGCCCGAAAGAAAATTCAAGGAATACCAACGGCATACCACAAAATAGCATGAATACAAGGTAAGGAATCAGGAAAGCGCCTATAGGAACATAATATATAAATACATGATTTGTGAGTGGTTTAAAAATAACCCCAATAAAATATTGAATTAAATAATGAAATCAGACCACATATATTTCAAAAAGTTTTTAGAGATATAGAAAATGTTTTAAATATTAAATTGGGAGATTTATTTACCTTCGAGAATATGAGGTTTATATTATATTCATTAAACCTTATATCTTTTCTTTTTTTAGTGTTCAAGCTAGATATCCCATAGATAACTTTTTAAATTCGGCCTTAATTGATTGAAAATTTTTAGTTTTGCCAAAAGCTGTTACATGTACCATACCCATCAATTTTTTAGCCCTTGATTAAAAAATTGATTTAAATATTCTCATATAAACCCCTTTAATTTAAAGTCGCAACCTAGGTAAGCCTTTATCAGATTAACAATTAAGAGTTGCTATATGCTGCCAATTTGAATGCGTCATCATTTAACCACATATATGCATAAAATGTAAAAAGTCGGTTAGTCAAGGGAATATGAAAGACGTGCGAGAATTAATTCAACAATGAGTATGAGGGCCCAAATACCAAACATCATGGATCCTATTAACTTTTCATCAGATGGCCTGAGACCGGCTTTACTCCAATACCTTGGTTTTTTACCTTAAAAATACTAATTCATATTCGGTTAATATTGCAGAAATACTCTTAAATTAACTAATTGTTTGAATATATATTTTTTACTCCAATACCTTAGTTTTTTACCATAAAAATACTAATTCACATTCGGTTAATATTGCAGAAATACTCTTAAATTAACTACTTGTTTGAATATATATTTTTTGAATTAATCCTTATGCGCAATGCCAGATGTAGTGCGGTTGGTCGATGTTTTAAATGCGCATTTTAGAAATTGAAGGACCTACTGGAAGGGGTTGTTTATTGCTAGTTGTTTCTTTGTTAGCTTTGTTGAACGGCTCGATATGAGCCAATTTTTAAAAACGGTTAACTCAATATTTTAGCCAAAAAAATATTGTCTATAAGCCTCGAGATTTCATGAATAGTTGAATAAATTTTTGTCCCATCTACAATCAAAATCTTGTTGACGTAATATTTTTCTAAATAAAATATTGAATTAGCCGTTTTAAAAATCGGCTCAAATCATGCCGGTTAACAACACTACTTAATTAGATATGTCACTCATAAACAAGGTTTTTGAGGTGGTAATATATTTTAAACCAACCTTTTGTTTGTCTGAATATAACTTTATTTTGTGTGAATATTTATAATTTAATTTCCGAAAATGATGCATAAATATTTTTAATTACAATCTATTTGATTTGTGTGTATTAAAAAGAAAATAAAACATAATTACAAAAGAAAATAAAAACGTAATTACAAAAGATAATAAAACGTAATTACAAATGAAAAGAAATAAAGAACATCAAACCTAATGTTACAAATAAATGAACAGGTGAAAGTATATACCTCAAAAACGCATTAAAAATTATTAGGAAATTTTCATTTTCATTTTTAAAAAAATTATAAAAGCCTGGAGTGAAATATTTTTTACTTGACTTCGCGAAAAATAAGTTGAAAAAGTTAGTGGGTGGTTATTATTGGCCTATTTTCTCCCACAAAATTTAAATATTATATTTCTTTAGAAAATTTATGTAAATTGCGATTATCAAGTTAAGTGTTATCCAAAAGTAGTGACGATTGTCGTTTTTTTTGGAAATGCAACAATTTCGCAACATGATTATATGATAAGCCATTTCGGTTTTCTCGAAAGAGGGTAAATATTCCAATTTTTTAAAAAATCAAATTTATGTCATGATATTTGAAATAAGTTTTTAATCAGGGCCATGTTATCTAATTTATGTTTATACCCCATTCTCGAACTAGCTGGCCCAAGCTTAAAATAAAATAATGATAAATGGGGTCACATTTTAAATAGAATTAAATCAAAGTATATTTTAGTGTTTATAAAAGTCAATATTAAAAAAAGCCTTCTTTTGTGTTGTAAAACGGCTCGATTTCTAACTCAATAATTTAGCCAAAATATATTATACAAGCCTGGAGATTTTGCTAATAAATAGCAAAAAGGTTTGGACATCTATGCGTAATATTTATTTGGCTAAAATATTTATTTAAAATATACTACTCTAGACTACATTGATCAGACGTCTTAAAAGGTAAAATAATATGCGAAGCGCATGAAAAAATTTAAAAAGGTGTGCAAAAATTAATTAGTCAAACATACTCATTTGAGGTTTTATATTAACTAAAAAGTGATTTTCGACTTAATCATCCTATTCTTCAAAATATAAAAAAAATAGATGTTAGATAATCAGGTGCGTAACCATTAATGGAGAAGGAGAGAAAATCCCCCCATCGCAAATTTGACTGTTTTCATAATTATCATTATAAGGTAATAAAAATTTTAGCCCCCCCCCAGCCAAAATTATTCAAATATTTGAATATCAATTTTCCAACATAAAACTTATTTTTTAAAAATAAATTTTATTAAAATTTCCTTTCCTTGTGTGTATATTATTCAGAAATATTAATAAATAGGAAAATTCTTCCTTCCAAACATGGCGGTCTTGGTATAAGATCCCCATTGTCGATTTCAATATGTGCGTTCTGCTAGCCACCTTCAGGCACGTATATTAATTGACCAACATCTGTCGGTTCACGATCCTTTTTTATACAGCTAAGAGAGAATGAGCAAAATCCGTCACAACCACAACCCTATTTCCGATCTCTGTTAAGCAGGATTGGGATTTACCACTTGTGAAAAACTCCGTTGATTACCTTATTTCGAGTTTCTCACCATTGGCTAGATCCACATTTATTGAACTTATCAAAGATCGGGGATATGAATTTTTAGATGTTATTCCAGCTACAATCACAAACTCGAATTGGACAACCATGAGCTCAGCTATGCTCTATGTATCAAGCTCAACATTCCCTTTTCATTACCATATAAATACAGCAAATGTCATACTGATGATAACAATATGGCGCTGCAACCTTTACATTGCAATCGTAATCCCGGTCGGCAAACTCGACACTTGAAGTGCAATCAAATCATATCTCTTGCACTTAGGTCAGCTGGTTTTCCTACCTCAATGGAGCCTTCTGGCTTATTTTCCGATAGTAGGCGACCTGATGGGGTCACACGTATCCCATGGTCTCAAGGGAAGTTTCTAATATGGGATTTCTCTTGTCTGGACACTAACTCCCCCTTTAATTTTAACAAGGACGCTGTGAACAGAGCTCAAAATTTTAAGATCGGCAAATACAGCGCTGATTCCTCAAATTATATATTCATACCCATCATTTGCTCCACCTTAACTACATATGGTGATTTGGCTAAAAACTTTTTAAAGACGTTGGCCGCCTAATCAGAAAAAATTTTGGGGAGCCTCGCTAAGGTTAATTTTTATTTAAGGCAGAGGATCGCAATCGCCATTCTTAAGGCTAATTATGTTTGTTTTATTAATTAGATCTCTCCTGATGATTAGGTGAAGGAGGTTTTGAATAATTTTGCTGCTTTCGCTTTTATTTATTTTGTATTTACATTTTTTTATGATCTATGCCTCAATATTGTCCTTTTGTTATTATGATTTTTTCCCCCGTAATCGTTTACTAATTATACTAATTATATATTTTTTTTATAAATTATACAATTATAAATTAATTACAAGATTTAAATAAAGATAGAAATAAAACGGTAATTTAATTTATTATTATGATTATTTCTAGATATATCTATTATGATTATTTTATCAAATTCAAAATTATTAGCGAGTTAGAAATTAACAAGATTTTTTATAATATTTTAATTTTTAATAAATATCTAAAAAAATTAAATATTGTTCATTTTTATTTCCATTTTGTAGAACAGAAGAAATAAATACAAAAGTTAAATAAGGCTGAACATGAAAAAAATGAACAAATACTGAAGAAAAAAATAATAAAGGTAGGTAGCATATATTTTATGAAAATCAGGTTAGGCAATATGTATAAATTTTTTATTAAATTAAAACTATTTTATTTATAATGTTTGTAGTTTAGGGGAGATGTGGTTCCTTGCTCTTTGAATATTAATGCTTCTGATGAAATGAATACCATTCCATATGGGGATATTGCAAAGTCTTCATGTATTTTTGCATTGCTCTTCTTAAAGTTGTTATAAGAATATTAAATTTGATAGATACTAATAGTGTGGAATTTTTTAATGATTATAACATCAATTGCCAATTAAATTTGTTCATCTTCATTTCAATATGTATGTGTGAATGTATTCATTTTAGCCAGACAATACTTGTCTATTATCGTTAAATGCTTTTATATGTATATTAAATAAAAAGTACTAAAAATTAGGTAAACATATAAATATACACATTTTGAGATAAAAAGTTAAAGGGTGATGACCAGTCCAAATACCATTTATGCCACATCTCCTCTATGCTATGACCTTTTTTTAAATATAAAATAGTTATAGTTTTTCAACAAATTTTTACAATATTTTTATTGATAAAACAACCATTTAAAAATAAAATTTTTATGTTTTTTTTCATTGCATTATATATATTTATGAGATTAGTTTTGTCCAACTATCCTTATGAGAATGAAGGATAAATTTATACAAATTATTTTATTAGGGTTTCATCAACCATGGGATATATATAATTTCTTAAAGAATGATTTAACTCTTTTAAAAAAATTAAAAAATTTTGCTATATATCAACCGGATCTAACTTTCTAATTTATTAGGGACACTACAACAAAAAAATTAAGGTTTCAATATGTTTGGTTATCAAGGTGGCCATGGCTAGCATTTTCTCCTACCATTAATAGTGCATTCTGCAAGAATTGTGTTTTATTTGGTTCAAAAATTTGCTGAAAGAGCCCAGCAAAAATTACAAAGCTTAGTATTAACACCAGTTACTAAATGGAAAGTCACTACTGAAATTTTCAATAACCAACAAAATAATATGTATCATATTGATGCACAACGAA